TCATTTTGAAGCAACCAGCTCCAGCGTTCGCGAGAGCAGGATTGCCTCCTGTTTGTGACCGTCCTGCTGCCTGTGTTGTCAGACAACGTCGTTTTAGAACAACATTCATCTCCAGTGGATTATTATTGGGTTGACTACCCCTTGGGGTGTAATGAAAAGCATTCATTAATTCTCAGGGCAGGAGGGCTAATTACTTTTTTATAAAAAAACGTGCTAATTGCCAATAACTTTTTTATTGAATGGGTCTCATAGAGATGAGTTTTATTGGCTTTTTGATTTCCCTTTCACATTGTAGCACTTAAAATGCACAGTCCAAACAAGCAGGGAGCATCTAGGTTATCTGGACAAGCATCGGGGGGAAACCCTGCCATGACAAAGACCAGCGGACTACACCACGGGTCTACGCTCAGCTCAGTGCTCAACCTTGCTGTGGTGCTGGCCAGGGTTTTCTGAGTCTCGTACCTTCCTGCCACCTCATGCTTCCACGTAGCAGGTGGAGACCTGTTTTCCATACTCCCCCGAGCCATGGCATTGATTTTGGCAGGCTGTCGGTGCCTGTGCAGCAGAGGCAGCACACAGGGCTCACGCTGGTTCCCCGCAGGGCTGAATCCCACCTCTCCTGCCAGGAGAAGACAGTCCCCAGCCCTATAAGTCCCAGGACTGCAGGAAGGTAAACAGGGTAGCACACAGCAATAACCCACGGGCTCAATATACCAGCTCCTATACTTGGGAGAAGGACTCATTCATCTGCCATTTGGGTCATGCTGAACTCCAGGATGAAGAAAACACTGGGCAATTTTTTGTTTGCTTTTAATTACAAATAACTACAGAGCTGAAGACACTGAATTATCAATGCAAGCACTAACCGGTTCTTCTGAGCAAGCAATAACTTACAAACACGACATTAAAGGTAAGTCTCACAGAAGCACAGCAAGCCCGTGGCAGCCAGAGTAGGAAACTACCCGTGTCAAATGGCTCCTGCAAAGCCTCAGGTAGTGCCACGGGTTGAGGCTGGCCATGAATTTCATTGCATGTGCATCACAGTAGTTTCTAGCAGTCTGACACCTGCAGACTCCCACAAAAAGCTGCTCTCACCATCAGGGGACGTAAGAGATGACCTGACAGGCAACAGTCCCCTCTGAACTGGACTGCAGATCCCGCTGCTGCTGGCCTGAGCTACTGAGCCTACTCAGCCTGGAGCTGGAGGTTGCTGCACTGCTGTGTCAGACACACGATCAGGTTGAAATACTTTCCCTTTCAAACACTTTTGACTGAAAAATAAAAAGTTTATATATTTTTTTCTCTTTTTTCTCCCCCAGTTCCACTTCAGCAGCTCTCCTACTGGGCATCAGCTGTCTCTCACATCATATTTCCTGAGTCTCCACTCCAGAAGATAAAGCACACAAACCATGGCTTCCATGCAAGCCAGAAACCTGTCCTTGCTTCCCCTCTGGAAATAACTGCAATTTAAAAAATATTAACTTTTTTTACTTGAATGAATAATCTCTATTTTAAGAACAGACAGGGCTTGCAAAAATGACTTTTCACTTCTGAGTGCCCTGAGAGGTTTTGAAAGGGCTGGATTCCCAAATGGTAGGTTGCTTGGCACTTTCTGAAAGCTAGTGCATTTTGGAAGTACCTTCAGGGAGTTGCCTGAAATCTACTGCTTCTGAAAGTCTTGGCCAAGACACTGTGTTATAGGAGTATGGTGAATAAAAAATAGTGTTCTGTTGATTTAGTAGTTGCACTGGGAATGTACATCACATTGGGAGTTACACTGTTGTATAGTGCACCAGGGATGTTATGTGCATGTGTGTGTATATACACACCCCAGTTACCGATTACACAGAAGAATCATCATCTAAAATAAGTACTTGGTGTCACCTATCGATGGCCTCAGCAGCGACCAAAACCAGCCACACTGCAGTTACCATGCAGCAGAACAGACTCCAGAGCTTGAGGAGCTGCTGCCTCAGCACGGCTTGCTTTTAATGAGCTCGCACGCCTCAAATAACTCCGGTCACGCTGGACAAAAACGAAATGTCCTTTGAATAAAATGTTTCCTGGCTACAACAGGAACAGATGCAATGACAAGCAAAAGGCAAAAGCAACAGCTTTTTTCTTCAAAATTAGGCCAAAGTGGTAAAAGCAGCTTGCAGAAAGTTCACTGGTATGGGGGGCAAAACACTTTTACTTACAAAAAAGCAGAAGTGTCATTTGTACGTCGAATCATGAATATTTCTATTTTTCTTATACAGGTTCATACTGAAGCAGCCCTGGTAGAATGTGACACCCTGGTCAATCTTGCACCTCCAGTGGGATGCCAGGTATGTATGTTATGCATGGGGCTTGGCTGGCAGCAAATTAATTTGCTAATCAGAAAATTATCTTAAACAGTAATGAGCCATTAAAGTCAAGGGGAAGAGCCACAGGAGACAAAATCATTTTAGCCCCTGCACTGGGTCCTCCAAGGAGCCACAGGCTGAAGTCCCATAAGCAGTCCTGCAAAGCCAGTCTCCTCCGCAGCCACGCTTGCCCGAGGATGGTGGCAGCCAGCAAGACCCTCCAGCACAGCCGCCTGCTCCCGGGGCCGCAGTTTGATGCTGCTGTGAAAAATCACTTTCACAGCAAGGTATGACCCTCTTGGCAGCGCTTGGGTCTGTGCTCCTCAGCAGAGGCAAGCCCTGGGAGGCAGCTCAGGATGGGATGCACATGCCAGCTCATGCCACTGGTCCACCTTTCAGCCAAACCAAGCTAGGAGCTCACTGGGACCAAAACAGGGTGGTCTCAATGCCCTTCTTCCTCCTCCCACAGTCCCATTTCGCCTCTCGCTCTTCTCATCCCCCAGCCATGCCCCATTCCTCCCAGCCCTCCTGGGACTCATCCAGTCATCCCATCGCCCGCTTTGACTCCCAAACCTGCCCACCCTTCTTTTGCCCAGCTCAGGTCCGGTGATAGCAGCAAACGCAATTGGCTTGGGGAAGGATCAGGCAGGCAGAGCTGGCCCCCTCCGCTGCTGGTTCAGTTCGCGCCAGAGGGTGGGAAAAGCCCTCCGGGTACTCTGTGGTAGCTTCACCTCTGGAGGGAAAATCCTGCACATCTGTGCCTGGCTGACACTAACCCCTACTCAGCAGCTCTGGCTTTTGTTTCCTTTCCACTGTCTCGCTTCTCTCTCCAGGAGGGAGGAACGAAAGCACAGGGACATTGAGCCCAGGGCAGGGGATGCCCCAATGCCAGCTAGAGCAAGGTGTGGCCCCACGGGGATATTGCCGGGGAAGCCCTTGGCGAGTCCTTCACCGGCCTGATCCTCTCCACGGAAGCTGTCGAGAGCCCAATTATCACACCTACCCCACACAAGCAGGAGGGCTGCTGGGCTGAGGGAAACAACCGAGTGCGCACTGAAGGGCTTTGCTGAATGCACTTAATTCACCGCTTTGGCCTTAAAGCTGAGCACATGCTTTACTGAATGGGGACAGGCACGCTGGAGTGGTCTGGGGGCCCGCTGACCTGTCACCCAGCATCAGCATCTTCAAAAGAAACAGCTCTTGGCACAAACAACTCCTTCTTTCAGGAAAAAGAAAAAGAAAAAAAAAAAGAAAAAAGAAAA